TTGCAGGATTAACTTGTGATATTGGTGGTATTTTGCTTACACTTTATTAATGTGACTTGTATGTGATTAGTGACCCTGTAACTATCATTAGTGACTCCCATAACCCCTGTAGTAATTTGTGGGCCTGTCCACCCTTTATGCATGGAATAATAATACAAGTTTCTATTAAGGACAAGGTGATCAACAGTTCATAAGGAAACTGGTACGTTGTACGTAGAGGTTTAACCACAAACTATTTTTATTTGCATCAATGTAATAAACAAACAAACCGGTTAGAAGTAAAATAAAAACAAGTTATACTAGATAAGTTACTGAAATAACCATAACCAAACCTCTCTGTACTCTAGACACAAATCATCGGGCTTATCTGAGGGAGAATAAAAAAATCCACAATTAATCGAAGCCAACTTCTGACATAAGAATATTAAGGTTACAGCTGTCCATCTTATTTGACAGGGTTTAAGTGTTGGATTTTCCCCCCCCAGTACAAGATCAACCCCTAATTAACAGACAAATAATTCAAATTTTATGACGAGGAACACATTTTGAGACTAATAATGGTTGGAGACGGCTTAAATGGGTAATGAAGAAAAACTTTAATATAAGTTTAACATAACAGCAAATGTACAACGTTTCGAAAAGGTTTTGTCATCATCAGGTAAAGTAATTTATGCGGACACGGACAAATAATTCAATATTCATACATCTCCCTAACGATTATTTGTAGGCATGGGTGCAAGATCAAAAAAAAAATTGTTCAGCTTTGGCATTATGAGAAATGTCTTCTTACAGTCTTATGTGACTTGTTGGAGTCACTAACCATCATCTTAGTATAAAGAAGAGTGACCACTGAAAAAGTTCTAAATTGTTTTATTTAAAGTTACTCGAGGACTATCTGTGCTAGCCATCCCTAGTGATATACTAGGGGGTAAGCAGCTAGTCAACACCACCCACCACCAACTCTTGTCTGACCGAACAGTGAAAGTGGCCATGACATTATAACTTCCCCAAAATTGAAAGGATGATCACGTTTAGTGGCAAGATTTAATCCTGAAATCCAAAGATTGCAAGACGAGAGCCCTAACTATTAGGCCATGCCAAGCCCTACAGCAAGGAAACTAAAATTTAAAGGAATAGCACTATTGTTTACTTGACTAATTAGGAGACGTGCAAGTTGCACCCTTGTAGCTCCCTACATACGTAAGCACTGGGTGCTGGAGAATGGGGTGTATTGAAAAGTTCTTAATAGTGCTTTAGTACTTGGCTTTACCCAGTACTCGAAAATAAGGGTTAATCAGTATTGAATGAAGTTAAACATTCGTCTTACAAACTTTTTTTTTTATAAACAGATCTCCCAACCTGGTTAGCTATGACCAAACAGCGAGATGACAGATTCAGGTTTTTCACAACTATAACTAGATCCTTATAATTATCAAATTTTTTATATGGGCTCCATCAGCTTTTTTAAACATACCTTCCTAAATTTATTTATTTACCAAGTTGATTGTGGGGTAATAACTTATTGGTTACAGGGTCACTAATCACGTACAAGTCAAATAAAGTGTAAGCAAAATACCACCAATATCACAAGTTAATCCCACAAATTACTACAGGGGTTATGGGAGTCACTAATGATAGTTACAGGGTCACTAATCACATACAAGTCAAATAAAGTGTAAGCAAAATACCACCAATATCACAAGTTAATCGTACCTTTAACTTTGCATGTACAAGTGTAGATGGGAAGTTAAACAATGGAATTTTTAGGATATCAAGGTTGATTCTCAACATTTATCATGTTCAATTGTTAAGGGTGGACAGGCGTACCTTTAACTTTGCATGTACAAGTGTAGATGGGAAGTTAAACAATGGAATTTTTAGTTAAACAATG